TACATATAGACATACATATAGACATACATTTAGACATACATACAGACACACATACAGACACACATACAGACACACACACACACACATACAGACACACATACAGATACACATACACATATAGACATACATACATACATCCACACATACATACAGACATACATATATACAGACATACAGACACATACATACAGACATACATACAGACGTACATATAGACAAACAGACATACATATAGACATACATTTAGACATACATACAGACAGACAGACAGACAGACAGACAGACAGACAGACAGACAGACAGACAGACAGACAGCACACACACACACACACACACACACACACACACACACAACAACATACATACAGACATACACACATACATACAGACATACATATGTACAGACAGACAGACAGACAGACAGACAGACATACAGACACAGACAGACAGACACACATACATACAGACATACACATACATACAGACATACAGACAGACAGACAGAGCCAGACCACGAATGCTGCAAAGAGCGACCGGAAGGGGGGCGAGAGGCGCCCAGCAGCCTACACCCGCAGACTCGAGGTCGGTCGCCACGGCAGTCGAATCCAGGTTAACGACGGGACGGAAGGAAGTAGAAAGAGACGGTAGATAAAAGATGGAAGAATGAAGGGACGAGCCGATAGACGAGGTGGGAATGGGCGGCGAGAGCGATGGGAAGCGAAGGCGATTTCCGGGGATTGCGAAGAGTAGAAAGGGGCGGGGGACTGGCGGAGGGACTGGCGGAGGACCGGCGGAGGGACTGGCGGAGGGACTGGCGGAGGGGCTGGCGGAGGGCTGGCGGAGGGACTGGCGGAGGGACTGGCGGAGGGACTGGGCGGAGGGACTGGCGGAGGGACCGGCGGAGGGACTGGCGGAGGGACTGGGACTGGCGGAGGGACTGGCGGAGGACTGGCGGAGGGACTGGCGGAGGGTGGCGGGAGGGCTGGCGGAGGGACTGGCGGAGGGACTGGGCGGAGGCGGCGGAAGGGCTGGCGGAGGGCTGGGAGGGACTGGCGGAGGCGGACTGGCGGAGGGACTGGCGGAGAGGGACTGGCGGAGGGGTCATCATCCACCTCCAGCGCGCCGGGAAGGGTCCGCAGACGGGGGGGGGGGGGGAGGTACGGGCGCTGGAGGGTGACTGACCTCGCCCAGACGCTCGCTCGTACCCAGGTTCAAACCTCGCCGCCTCCTCCCCTCCTCCTCCTCCTCCTCCTCCTCCTCCTCCTCCTTCCTTCTTCTTCTTTCTTCTTTCTTCTTCTTCTTCTTTCTTTCTTCTTCTTCTTCTTCTTCTTTCCTCCGCCTCCTCTCCTTATCCTTCTTCTTCCTCCTTCCCCTTCTCCTTCTTCCTCTTTCCTCCTCCTTCTTCTTCTTTCCTCCTCCCTCCGCTCCTTCCTCCATCCTCCTCCTTTCTCTTCCTGTACGTTCCCATTTTCTCTCTCTCTCTCTTCTTACTCTTTCCTATTTTTTCTTCCTCTTTATTTCTTCTTTCCATCTTTTCTCCATTTTCCTCTTACTCTTCCCCTCTCCTTCCCTCCTCTCTCTCTCCTCCCTCTCTCCTCCCCTCTCCCCTCTTCTCTTCTCTTCTCTCTCCCTCTCTCCTCCCCTCTTCCCCTCTCTCTTCTCTTCTCTCCTCCCTCCCCTCTCCTCCGCTCCCCATCAACCGTTTCCCCTACCCTCTTTCCCCTCCTCCTCATTATCCTAGTTCCTCCTCCTGCTTTTCTCTCTTTTCTCCTCTCACCCTCCATTTCCTCTCCTCCTCTCTCCCCCGTGCCTGCATGTGCCTCTCCTCTCGTTTATCCGTCCGGATTAATGGCCTTGACCTTGGGCCCTGACCTTGACCTTTTTCCCTTTCCCCTTTCCCTCTTCCGTCCCTTCCTCTCCCATTTCCTTCTCGTTTTTCCTCCTCCTCTCTTTCTCCTCTTCGTTTGTTCGCGTTTCCTCCTCTTCCCTTCTTCGCAGCGCCAAGGAGGAGGAGGAGGAGGACCTTCACTTGATCGAAGTCCTTGGGTCTCGGGCGCGACTCGTCTGGGCTGTGGCTTTAAGTCGTCCCCTGTGGCTTGGGCTTCCTTTCTTTGGGCTGGTTCGGTCCTCGTCTGTGGGCTCCTTTCATTTCGCTCTTTTCTTGGGCTCCTTCATTCTCTCTGCTGTGGGCTTCCTCATTCCTCTTCTGTGGGCTCCTTCATTCCTCTTTATTTGGGCTTTCTTGTTGTTTCCTCTGCTGTGGGCTTCCTCATTCCTCTCTTCTGTGGGCTCCTTCGTTCCTCTTTTATTTGGGCTTTCTTGTTTGTTCCTCTGCTGTGGGCTTCCTCATTCCTTCGTCGTGGGCCTCCTTCAATTCCTCTTTATTGGCTTCTCATTCTCTGCTGTGGGCTTCTCATTCCTCTTCTGTGGCCTTCCTTCATTCCTCTTTATTTAGGCTTTCTTGTTGTTCCTCTGCTGTGGGCTTCCTCATTCCTCTTCTGTGGGCTCCTTCATTCCTCTTTATTTGGGCTTCCTCATTCCTCTGCTGTCGGGCTTTCCTCATTCCTCTTTCTGATGGGCTCTTCGTTGGGCCTTTCTTGTTGTTCCTCTGCTGTGGGCTTCCTCATTCCTCTTCTGTGGGCTCCTTCATTCCTCTTTATTTGGGCTTCCTCATTCCTCTGCTGTGGGCTTCCTCATTCCTCTTCTGTGGGCTCCTTCGTTCCTCTTTATTTGGGCTTTCTTGTTGTTCCTCTGCTGTGGGCTTCCTCATTCCTCTTCTGTGGGCTCCTTCATTCCTCTTTATTTAGGCTTTCTTGTTGTTCCTCTGCTGTGGGCTTCCTCATTCCTCTTCTGTGGGCTCTTCTCCTCGATCCTCCTCTCTGTGGGCTCCTGTGGGCTCCTTCGTTCCTCTTTATTTGGGCTTTCTTGTTGTTCCTCTGCTGTGGGCTTCCTCATTCCTCTTCTGTGGGCTCCTTCATTCCTCTTTATTTGGGCTTCCTCATTCCTCTGCTGTGGGCTTCCTCTCCTCTTCTGTGGGCTCCTTCATTCCTCTTTCTTAGGCTTTCTTGTTGTTCCTCTGCTGTGGGCTTCCTCATTCCTCTTCTGTGGGCTCCTTCGTTCCTCTTTATTTGGGCTTTCTTGTTCCTCTTCTGTGGGCTCCTTCATTCCTCTGTATTTGGGCTTCTTTGCTTCTCTTTATTTGGGCTGCTTTGTTTTTCTTTTGTGGGCTCCTTCATTCCTCTTATTTGGGCTCTTTTGTGCCCCTAATGTGGGCTCCTTCGTTATTCTTCATTGTGCTTTCTTATTTTCTTCATTTGGGATTTCTTGGTCCTGTTTTGTGGGCTCACTCATGCTCTTTATTTTTATTTTATTTTTTATTTATTTTTTTGTTCATCTTCTATGTGCTTCTTCTGTGGGCTCCTCCACTATTCTTCTGTGGGCTTATTTATCCTCTTTTTTGTGCTTCTTTAGTTTTTTTCGATCCTCTTCTTTGGGCTTCTTTGTTCCTTTTCTTTGGACGTCTTTGTTCCTCCTCTTCGAGCTTTCGTTCCTCTTTGGTCTTCTTCGTACCTCTTTCTTTGGGGTTCTCTTCTCTTCTTTCGGTTTCTTTTCCGTCCACTTAGGGTTTCTTTCCTCATTGTTTGGGGTTTCAAGTATTCTACAGTGGACTTTCCTCTTTGGGTTTCTTTGTTCCTCTTTTCTGGGTTTCTTTGTTCATGTTTTCTTGGTTTCTTTATTCCTCTTTACTGGGTTTCTTTGCTTTACTGGGTTTCTTTGTTCTTTTCTTGGTTTCTTTGTTCCTCTGTTCTTGGTTTCTTTGTTCCTCTTTTCTAGGTTTCTTTGTTCCTCTTTTCTGGGTTTCCTTGTTCCTCTTTTCTTGGTTTCTTTGTTCTTTGGTTCTCTTTTCTAGGTTTCTGTGTTCCTCTTTACTGGGTTTTTTTGTTCCTCTTTTCTTGGTTTCTTTGTTCCCCTTTTCTTGGTTTCTTTGTTCCCTTTCTGGGTTTTTCTTTGTTCCTCTTTTCTTGGTTTCTTTGTTCCTCTTTACTGGGTTTCTTTGTTCATCTTTACTGGGTTTCTTTGTTCCTCTTTTCTGGGCTTTTCAGTTTCTCTTCTTTGGGCTTTTGTGATTCTCTGCATTTATGCTTCTTCGTTCCTGCTGTGTGGGCTTCCTCTCTTCTTCTCCTCTTCTGCGAGCTTTAGTTTAGTGTGTTTTTGGTTCCTCTTCTTTGCTCTGGTCTTTCGGCCCTCCTCTTTGATGTGTACAGGCGACGGACGCTAATCTCAGCTTTCCGCCTTGTTATTGCTTTGCTGTTTCTGATTTGTTTCTCTCCCTCTGATTTGTTTCTCTCTCTTTTCTCTGTCTGTCTTCTCTCTCTCTTCTATTATGTCTGTCTGTCGTCTCTCTCTCTCTCTCTCTCTCCTCTCTCTCTCTCTCTCTCTCTCCTCTCTCGTCTCTCTCTCATCTCTCTCTCTCTCTCTCTCTCTCTCTCTCTCTCTCTCTCTCTCTCTCTCTCTCTCTCTCTCTCTCTCTCTCTCTCTTTCTCTCTCTCTCTCTCTCTCCTCTCTCACAACACACACACACACACACACACACACACAACACACACACACACACACACACACACACACACACACACACACACCTCCTCTCCTCCCTCCCTCTCCTCCCCCCCTCCCTCCCCTCCTCCCTCCTTCCCCTTTCCTCCTTCCCTCCTTCCGTATCTACCTACCCACCTACCCACTTACTTACCCACCCATCTTCCCTCTCTATCTATCATCAAACCTTCCCTCCCCCTTCTCTGCTTATTTTCTAACCTTGGCCGTAATAGTTTCTTCTCTTAAATCCCCCCCCGCCCGTTTCCCCCCTTACCCTCCTTTACTAACTTTTTTTTCCCCCCAGTTGTCCTCCTGTTGTCTTTTTCAGCATTTTTTATCGCCCTCCTCCTCCCCCTCGACAATCATTTTTCTTTCTTTTTTTCTCTCTTCCTTACGTTTTCATTATTTTTTTCTCGTTCCTTTCTTACTCTCCTTTTCATTTTTCTTCTTTTTTCTCTCTTCCTTACGTTTTCATTATTTCTTCTTCCTTTCTTCCTATCTTTCGTTCGTTATTCCCCTCTTCGTTGCTGTCGTGTATCTCTCTTGTTATTTCCATTCCTCGCTCTATTTTTTTTATACCTTCCCTCTTCCTATTTTTGCATCCGTTTTTTATCTCCCTCCCTTTCTCCCTTGTTACTCCCATCTCCTCTCTCTCTGTCTCGTTTATCCTTCTCTTCCTCTCTACCTAGCCCATCTATCTTTTATTTGTTTCCTTTCCCTCCCCTCTCCCTCCCACTCTTCCCCACCTCTCCTCCCCACTTCAACTCTTCCCTCATCCCTCCCCACTCTTCCCTCTCCACTCTTCCCCCTCTCCCCCACTCTTCCCCCTGCTCGCCCCCACTGCCTCTCCCCTCTCCCTCCGCCACCGCCTCCCCTCTCCCTGCCCCTCACCCTCCCTCTTCCTCCCCACTCCTCCCCTCTCCCTCTCCCCAGCGCACTCCTCCTCTCCCTCCCCACTCTTCCCCCTCTCCCTCCCCCACTCTTCCCCCTCGTCCTCCCCTCTCCATCCCCCACTCCTCTCCCACTCTTCCCCTCTCCCTCCCCACTTCCCCCTCTCTCCCCCACTCTTCCCTCTCTTCCCCCTCTCCCCACCCCCACTCTCCCCTCTCCCTCCCCACTCTTCCCTCTTCCCCCTCCCCCACTCTCCCCTCTCCCCCCCACTCTTCCCCCTCTTCCCTCTCTCCTCCTTCCCCTCTCCCTCCCCCACTCTTCCCCTCTCCCTCCCCCACTCCTTCCCCCTCTCCCTCCCCCACTCTTCCCCCTCTCTCCCCGTACTCCCCCTCTCCTCCGTACTCCCCCCCTCGTCCCTCCCCCACTCTTCCCCTCTCCCTCCCCACTCTTCCCCCTCTCCCTCCCCACTTCTCCCCCTCTCCCTCGCCCACTCTTCCACTCTCCCCACCCCCCCTCTTCCCCTCTCCCCACCCCCCTCTTCCCCTCTCCCTCCCCCACTCTTCCCCCACTCTTCCCCTCTCCCTCCCCCACTCTTCCCCTCTTCCCTCCCCACTTCTCCCCTCCCTCCCCACTCTTCCCCTCTCCTCCCCCACTCTTCCCCTTCCCTACCCCACTTCTCCCCCTCTCCCTCGCCCACTCTTCCCCCTCTCCCTCCCCCTCTTCCCCCTCTCCCTCCCCACTCCCTCCCCTCTCCTCCCCCACTCCTGCCCCTCTCCTCCCCCACTCTTCCCCCCTCTCCCTCCCCCCTCTTCCCCCTCCTCCCCTCTTCCCTTCTCCTTCCCCCTCTCTCCCCCCTTCTCCACTCTCCCCCCTCCCTCCCCCTCTTCTCTCCTCCCCTCTCCCCCCTCCCCCACTTCCCTCCCACTCTCCTCCCCCTCTCCTCTCCCCCCCCTCTCCCTCCCCTTCCCTCTCCCTCCCCCTCCCCCCCCCTCTCCCTCCAGCTGGTCCGCCGAACATCGCTGAAAAATCCCCCTTCCATTCGACGCGTCGCCCTGTGCTGCGAGGCCGTCGGGGAATCGGCCGTCCAGGGTGTCAGCGCCGAGGGTTTCCTCCTCCGTCCGCGAAGCCCCGGTGCTCTCTCCTCTCTCTTTCTGTTTTGATCTTTCTCCGTCTTTCTCTCCTGTTCTCCTCTTCCCTCTTCTTTCTTTTCCCCCTCTTCTCCTCTCCGTTCTTCCTTCTCTCTCCTGGTCTCTCCTTTCTCCCCACTATCTCCTCTCCCTCCGTTCCTTCCTCTCTCCTTCCCTCCCACCATTCCCTCCGGCCCTCCCTCTCTCGCTCAATATACCCTCCTCTCTCTCTCCTCTCTCTCTCCGTGAGCGGCGCGGCGGTGAGAGGCGGGAAAAGGCAGGTGCCGGCTCTGCCGCGTCGTCCGCCACGTGGTGGTGGAGGCGGCGGAGCGGAGCCGCGAGGGGCGAGGGGGCGAGGGGGCGAGGGGGCGAGGGGGCGAGGGGGCGAGGGGGGTCGAGGGGGCGCCGCTCCCTCCGGCCGGACGCCTGCGTACTCGCCCGCCGAAGCGTACCCAGGCCGCCCGCCGCCCATCGATCCCTTTCTACCTTCCTTCCGGCCCTCAAGCCAGGCCTCCGTACGGCCCCTTTTCCCCCATTCTTCACCCCCCTTCCCCCTCCCTTTAACCCTGCCCCAGCCCCCCCCCTCACACCTCATCTCGGTCGGCCAGCACACTTGTGTTTTTTTCTTTGCTTTTCTTTACGTCTGTTGTTATTGTGTTTGTGTGTGTTTTAGTAGTTTATTTCGTTCTTTTTTTTGTTTTCGTTTTTTTATCGTCGTTCCTTCTTCACTAGCTCCTCTCCCTTACACAGACTGCTTCTCTACATTTCGTCCTTTCAAGTTGGCTACTCTCGCCTCTCTCTCTCACTCCCTCATCCTCTCCTACTCCCTTTCCTCTCATTTTCCTTCTCTCTTTCCTATTCCTTCTCCCTCTCCCTTTCCTTCTTCCTCTCCTCCCTGTTCCCCGTTTCCTCTCCCTCATCCTCCCTCCTCATCTCTCTCTGTCTCTCATTCCCTATCTTTCTCCCCCTTTCCCTCATTTCCCAATTCCTCTTTCCTTCATTCCCCCCATCTCCCTTTTCCCTTCATTCCCATTCCCCTCATTTCTTTCCCCTCATTTCCCCTTTCCCTTTCCCTCATTTCCTCATTTCCCCTTCCCCTTTCCCTCATTTCCCTTCCCCTCATTCACCTTTCCCCTCATTCCCCCATTCCCCTTTCTCTCCTTTCCTCGACGCACCTCATGATGAGCAAAGTCCGGCCGCGCGAATACAGCCGCAGTCTCGGGAAAAATATTCATGGCTTTTAATCTTCATTTGTGTGGATATCGGCGAAAATCTACGGAGTTGACGAGCCACGTTTCACTTAATTAGGCGATTAGGGGAGGGAGAGAGGGAGAGAGGAAGAGAGAAGGAAAAGGGGGAATGGAGAACGAGGAAAGGGGGTGGGAGGGAGGGAGAAAGGAGTGGGAGGGGAGAGATAGGGGATGGGATAACGGGAAATGATAGTTGTTGATGTCGTTATCTCTCTCTTTTTTTCCTTCTTCTTATTCTCCTTCCTTTTTCTTCTTTCAATTACGTCTAATGATTAAGTTTTAGCTCCGGTGGATAGGCCTAGACTCAGCATGTGCACAGGGAGAATCTTGATGCGTTGGTGGGGAGTTTTGATTGTTCTTATTTTCTCCTCCTCTCTTTCTCAACACCTTTCCTTAACACACTTCCTTTCTCTCCTTTTTTTCTTCCTCTTTCCTCTGCTCCTTTTTTTTTTTTTTTCTCCTGGTCCTTTTGTCGTTCTTCTTCTTTTTCTTTCTCCTTCAGCCTTACCACTTTCCGTTTTCTCTCTTTCTCTTTTTTTTTATCTCCCTCTCCTCCTCCACCTCCACCGCGCTCCTTCTCCTCCCGCTCCTCCTCTTCCTCTTCCTCCTTCTCCTCCCGCTCCTCTCCTCCTCCCCTCCTCCTCCTCTCTCTTCCTCCTCTCTCCTCCTCCTCCTCCTCCTCCTCCTCCTCCTCCTTCCTCCTCCTCCTCCTCCTCCTCCTCCTCCTCCCTCCTCCTCCTCCTCCTCCTCCTCCTCCATCCCTCCCTTTCATCTCCCTTCCCCAACAGCCAGACGTTGACGCTCTAACAAGGTCACGGGCGAGTCCCCTCCCCCCTCTCCCTCCCTCCAAGGTCTCGGCACACACTCGGCACCAAGGTCAGGGTTAAGGGGAGTGAGGGCGCGGAGGGGAAAGGAAAGGGGCGCTCTGGGGAGGGAGGGAGGGAGGGAGGGAGGGAGGGAGGGAGGGAGGGAGGGAGGGAGGGAGTGAGGGAGGGAGGGGAGGATTAATAGGATGGAGGGAGGGAGGGTGGGAGGGGAGGAGTGAGGGGGAGAGGGAGGGAGGATTAATACGATGGATGGATGGAGGGAGAGGGAGGGAGGGGGGATGAGGGGGAGGGAAGGTTTAATGAAAAGAGGGGGGGAGGGAGGTCAGTAGGATTGGGATGTAGGGAAGGAGGCTTGATATGATGGAGCGGGGAGGAAGGGTTGATAGGATGGGGGAGGGAGGTAGAGAGGGAGGAAAGGAAATGAAGGTAGAGGAACGAGGGGAGGGAGTGAGGAATGGAAAGAAGGGAGAGGGATAAAGGGAAAGGAGCGAGGGAGGGAAGGAGACAGTTGAGGGGTTGAAGGTAGGGGGAAGGAGGGAGTAGTATAGGGGGGGGGAATTAAAGGAGGAGGAGGAGGGATGTTAGAATTACGGGTAAGGGTAAAGGAGAAAGGAAAATGTCAAAAAGGGGAAAATGCATAACGAAGGGAGGGAGGAGAGTGAGAAAAGAAAGGAGAGATGACAGAGAAGAAAAGAATGGTAAGTACGAGAGTAGATAAAAGCTGATGAAGAGAGCAGTTGAGAAAGCATATGGAAGGGAGGGTTAAAGGGGGGGGGGGGGAGATGAAGATGAAAACGGAAATGAGAGAGCATGGAAAGGGAGGTAGGAAAGGAAAGGGGGAAAGGGTGAGAAAGAAGGGAGATAGTGAAGATTGAAAAGGGTAGGAGATACACGTAAAGTGAATGACAAAAAAAGAGGAGGAAAGCCTAATGAATATAAAGAGAAGGTGTAGAAGAAAAGGGAGAAGGGGAGAAGAGGGAGGAGGTAGGAGCCAAGAGGAGGAAGAGGGGAAGGAGGAGGAGGAGGAAACGAAAAAAAGAAGAAGGAAGAGAAGGAGAAGAGGGGAGATAATCCGACAAATTTGGCACCCTGTCCGGAGATTTTTGGGGTGCCATGCCTGTTCCGCGTGGCAACACCTGGCCCTGGCTTACCTCACCCCCTCCTCCTTCCCCTCTCCGTCCCCTCCCCCACATGGCCGTGTCATCGCCCTCCACTCTCTCGATTTGCCTCAACACTTCTCTCGGTCTCTCGTTTCAACTGTGCTCTCCTTTTCTCACTTATTATTTCTACTCTTTCTAGTGCTTATTCTCTCTCTCTCCGTCTCTTTTTCTCTCTCTCTCTCTCTCTCTCGCTCTCTTTTCTCTCTTTCTCTCTTTCTCTCTCTCTCTCTCTCGCTCCTCTCTCTCGTCTCTCTCGCTCTCGCTCTCTCTCTCGCTCGCTCTCGCTCTCTCTCTCGCTCTCTTCTCTCTTCTGCTTCTCTCTCGTCTCTCTTCTCTCTCTCTCTCTCTCCCTCACTCCCTCACTCCTCTCTTCCTCCCTCCCTCCCTCCCTCCCTCCTTCCTCCCTCCCTCCTCCTCCCTCCCTCTCCCTCTCTCCCTCTCCCCTCCCCCACCTTTCTCTCACTCTCACTTTCATTCTCTCACTTTCTCACTCTCGCTTTCTCCGACAAGTGCTCTCTCTCCTCTCCCTTACCCTTTTAATCGCATATGAAATTGTATATCGATAGTAATAATTTATAAACACAGTGATAAGTATTGACATTTTTCGCGACATTTAGATGTAATCAAGAGTGTACATATAAAACACTATGGAAAGTTAGTTGTGTGTGTCTTTTCGTTCGTTTGTGTGTACCAAAGTAACACTTGACCAACACTTTGTGAGTTATGACCTAGTGTTTATATGGCACACGCACACCCTCACCTTCACCTTCACTTCACCTTCACCTTCACCTTCACCTTCACCTTCACCTTCCCCCTAAGCCTTCTCCCTTCCCCACCCTCCCTCCTTCTCCCTTCTCCCTTCTCCTTCCCCTCCCTTCCCCCAACCTCCCTCCCTCTCTTCCTCCCTATCTTTCCACATCCCTTCTTCCTCTTTCCGTCCCTCCCCTTTCTATTTCTAGGTCGCCCTCCATCCCTTTCCATCTCTCCCTTCCTCCCTACATTCCCTCCTTTCCCTCCTCTCGCTTTCCGCCTTTCCCTCCCTCCCTCATTCCACCTCTCCCTTCACTCGCTTTCACCTCCTCTCTCTCTCCTTACTCTCTCATTCGCTTCACCTCCCTCTCCTCTTCCCCTCTCACTTTCCCTCTCCCTCTCCCACTCCCTCCCTCTCTCTCTCCCCCTCCTTCTCCCCTCCCTCTCCTCCTTCTCTCCTCCACCTCTCCCCTCTCTCCCCTCTCCCTCTCGCGCCCCCGCCCTTGCTCCAGTGACTTCCCCTCGATAACGAGTCTTGGCAAGGGCGGATCGTGTGACCAGAGCGGGAGACCTTGAATTGTTGTTGTCAAGGTGAAATGAAAAGGTCTTGTCTAGGAGGCAGTAGAACAGCGCCCCCCCCCCTCTTCTTTCTTCCGTCCCCTCCCTCTTCTTCCTTTTCCCCTTTCCCTCTCCTTCCTTTCTCCCCTTTCCCCTCTCCTCCCTTCTCCTTCCCTCTCCCCTTCGCTTTCTCCCCCCTTTCCCCTCTCCTCCTTCTCGTCCCCTTTCCCCTCTCCTCCTTTCTCCCCTTTCCCCTCTGCCTTCCTTTTCTCCCCTTTCCCCTCCTCCTCCTTTCTCCCTTTCCCCCTCTCCCCTTTCCCCTTCCCCTTTCTCCATCCCCTTTCGCTCCCTTCCTTCCATCCTTCCCCTTTCCCCTCTCCTTCCCTCCCCTCCCCTCCCTCTCCTTCCTCTGCCCCTTCCCTCCCTCTCCTCTCCTTTCTCCCTTTCCCCTCTCCTTCCTTTCTCCCTTTCTCCTTCCTTTCTCTCCTTTCGCCCTTTTCCGCCCTCCCTTTCCTTTCTCCCCTTCCCTCCCTCTCCTTCCTTTCTCCCCTTTTCCCCTTCCCCC